AAAAATTAAAGAATATTTCAAATTAATTAAAGAGTTTTTGTTTTAAAACAGAATATCCAATGCTGTACATTGTTTACAATAGCCTTTATATATTTAGTGTAATATAAGCTACAAAAGTTGTTAATTTCGGTGCAAATTCACACATTTGTCACCACCGATGACGTGTAGACGCTCATCAACTTATGATTTATATTCAGAAATCATCACTAATGTGTTTTCAAATGTCTATTATTTTAATTAAAAATTCAGAACTCCTAACTTATTAAAGTGTTTTATTTACACGTATATTAATGCAAAAGTACTTGCCTTGATATATACCGAACCGCTTATGAAGCAATTTTGATAATTGAAACCAATATTCACTCAATTAAACGTTCATTTCTCATAAAGTGATAACAAATGATGAATACATGTTAGAGTTACACGTATACGGCATTCAAAGATTCCTAATTTTGAAATCAAATACTGTAACTGCCATACCTTTTCATAATTTAAATCATATGTATTGTCAACTACAGTATGTGGTCACAAATAGTGTTGCTGTAGTATTGGTGAAAAAGTATTTTTATCATTTATTCGATCACTTAAATAAAATGAAACAATCATTTCAAACGAAAACCTTTATTAGAATAATGGCATACATTTGTCATATACATAAAATTTGTTTATTATAAATGAACAATAATATAGTTTGTCATTATTTGGTTAAATAGTTAATAAAAATTTAGGACAATTCAAAACAATTGGCATTTCATGCTTTGGCATATAATATTACGGTAAACAATTTTGTTCATTGATATTGTATTGATATACAAAACGCTTAGTGTGCAGAATAGTGTATTAATACTTGAGAGTACAGTATATTTAAACATTTAGCGCTTAAATATCACAGTTTAGATCCTTTCAGAGTTCAAACGGCAGTAAATATTGAGATTTGTCATTAATAAGGCGGATAATTAGGCTGATTTGGAGCCGGGTATGAGGGATAGGCGGGGTTTGCCGGACCACTTGGATAACTATTGCCAGTTGGGGGATAAGGGTTAGGTCCAGGGGGTCGATAGGCACCGCTTGTTGGGGCGCTTGGGTATGGATTTGTTGGAGGATAAGAACCAGTGGGAGGGTAGGCACCAGCAGACGAATTTGGGCCACTAGGGTATGGACCAGAGGGAGGGTAGACACCACTGCTGGAATTTGGGGCACCCGGGTATGGAGCAGAGGGATGGTATCCACTACTTGGTGGATATGGGTTAGCACCAGGAGGAGGATAACCACTGGTTGGTGGATACGGGTTGGGAGCAGAGGCTGGATATGCACTCGGATAAGGGTTTGGAGCGCTCGGGTAAGAAGGGTTAGCACTGGGAGGTGGCGGCGCCATTGGTTTCACAGGCGGAGCGTTAGGATATGAAGGATTGGCACTCGGGTAAGAACTGGGAGCTGTAGGAGTCGGTTGGGGGTACGATGGCTGTGATGAGGGAGCAGTTGGGTGTGGATTGGGTTGAGAGGGGATCGACGGATATATGGGAGTGGGTTCGTGTCCCGTGGGTTCGGGGAAAATGCCGGCGGCGGTGCTCTGTCCGGGAGCCGAGGGCTTAAAACCCCGCGTTTGCATAAAGTGTATGAACTGAGTGGGGATCTCAGCCAAGACAGCCCTTCCCAACTCGAACTGATTCTGTTGCCAATCGCCAGAAACAAATCGATTCAACGGAACGAACTGTTGGTAAATATAAATGACAGATGAATATAAAGTTGCAAATTGAAGGCAAATGGTGTCAGACCTGAACGATATCCCGTTGGGCTCTTTTGCCACGAGAAACGAGTTGAGTTCCGTCGCCGTCCAGAAAGTCCATTGAAGAGAAGTCAGCGTTTCCGACGCCTATATAAACCATAGGATTGGTTACAATTGTTTCTTATTTTGATGATTATTTTGAAGACAAACCAATTATTATTATAGATAATGGCAGAGAGGATGCGTTGACAATAGCATCGAGCGTTTCGCTCATATCAGAGATGACACCATCAGTGATGATGAGGAGAACGAAGTAATGCTTCCCGTCTTGGAATCGCTGTGCAATCGATGCCGTGTTGTTAATAACGGGCGAAAAATTGGTGGGTCCGTGAAGGGAGACCGCACTTAGAGTAGACTTATAGCAACCGATTATCTCATCGATTCCACGACAATAAGGATAAGACATATTGTTGTTCAAAGGGAACAGATGTGACGTCTGTCCGGTCGGCAATTTGGCACCGAATCCATAGCTGGGATACAGTCCCTGTGTATCATACGATTTGATGATTTCGGCCACAGATCTCAATGCGATTTCATACTGATTGGGACGACCGCTATAGTCCATGAAATGCAGAGACCGGGGGTCACTCGGGTTACCGTTGGATGCGGTGAAGTCAACGGCGACCGCGAAATGCATTTGAGTTCCACCGCGAATATAGTCCAGAAAAGTGACTTCTTGTGAGATCGATATAGTGTTGAGTCTAACAACACCTGAATTTGTGTACGACTTTCCTTTCCGTTTCCTTTTCTCTTCGTTTATACACTAATCATAAAAATAATTCAATAGTCAATTAAATACCGGTAGCTTTGGGATAAAACTAATGTATCAGTAGTATTATATATTAAATAGTAATCTTAATTTGGGATTTTTGTTAAACAATTTCCCTTAAGAAAAGTGGACAAAAATCCCAATTTTAAATAAGGGAAAACACTATTAAATAGGTATTCAAGATCCAAATTTTGGTATTCAAGAATCTCATTCATAAAACCCATTAACATTTCTCTTATATGATATCATTTATAAATTAATGTTTATTTCAGAAATACCGTAACATTTGAAGATATTTAAAGGAAAGGAAAGAAGGGATCAATTTGTGTGGAATGTAAGGGATAGGGATAGGGATAGGGATAGGGATAGGGGGAAATAATCGGAAAGTTTATGATTCTTACGTTATATGAGTTCTGTTGAGTGGGACCGGCGGACAGTCGTCTGAGATTAGTGACGAAAGAACCGATGAGGTCGTGGGCACTGTTTTCGTCCCAATCATAGCAATCAATCTTAAGGTTGCGGTCGTAGTCCCCACCGCACAACTGCTGCACCTTCAAGTTGAATGGTCTCCACTGCGGACTCAATGTGTTTCGGATCACTTCCGTCTTGTGGACCACAGTGTAAGTGTTGTCCGGATTGACGCGAGAGATCGTCAAATAGGGATCAGATTTGCCCAAAAAGTCCTTCTTATCTAAATTGGTGGCCGAAAACGAAATCAAAGCGATCTGTTTGTTGGCCGACAGCTCTTCGGCTCT